TGACGCTAACTGTAGGGTCTGCTCTGTCTGAGGCTTTATTAGGCTTTGATCTGAGCCAATTTGTGCTGTTAAATAAGTTTCTCACCCATGCAGTATAATTACAGTTACAAACTAGTATGCATTTGCCAACAGTTTTCAGTTACACTCACCTTTATTTAGACAGGTTCATGTACACTTGGACAGTCTCCTGAAAGTGTGTTTTTTTTTGGGGTTTTTTCTTGAATTTTCAGACAATCTAAAAGCTTTTGTGGCAGTTATTGCTAATGTGTGCATTGTGTCACCATGGTAACTGATGAACATACCACCATTCAGATACATGTAGAACGCCCCCAGCATGATGTTACCGCAAAGTATAATTTTGTATTTGTAGCTATTTATTAAAGGGACAATGCATATTAAAAGACAAGATAATGTACGAGACAAACATGTACTTGCAAATATGCAGGATTGTAGCTGATAATTTCCATCCTTAGTCATTCATAAAACATGACAAAAGCCTACATCAAAAAGTCACATTCCAGGATGTTTGTGTTTAAAGGTGCACTATGTAACTTTTCTGGTGGAAGTTCCAGCACATGCTAGTTTCTGTATTGCTGTGCCTGGACTGTGTCACAATATGGCATTAAAATTCCATCCATCTCCATGAGGACAAGCAAATGAACTCAGGCCAAGTAACAGATCAAAGAGTTGAAAAGCTTTGGAGAGTTGAAGTAGAATAAGTACTTTTCAAGGTATTTTTTTAACTATAAAATTTAAAGGGAGCTTTTAGTTTTGTCTGAATATTATCACACTGGCCCCAGAAAATATAAAAATCACAAACACTACACTGACCTCAACCTGCCCTAATTGTAAATAAATCAACTATGAAACAGACAGATTGTTGTGTAGTCTGACTGTGTGTCTAAACAAAAAAACCCAAAACAAAACCAAAAAAAGCTCATCAAATATTCAGTTTAATTTATTCATGGAGATCTTAAGTCCTTACAGACATACTGTATCTCTGAACAGCCCTGGCTTTTATTAATTGTCAGTTGTTACCATGGTTACCTACTGATCTCTGACCCTGATCTGATTGACTGAAGATTACATCAGTGAACATAGTCGTCAGCGATGCTCATATTATAAAATGCTAAAAGCTCCAGTAAGACCTGAACCAGAAGCGAGGTCACTTCATTCTTTGAGCCTGAGGTTATGTATTACACCAGTGGAGTATGTCTTTGCTTAATCATGCATCATTTTACTGTGGCCGCTTTACAGGGTGAAATATTTATGTTATAACTGAGGTTATTTGTCATACTGTACATTCATTACAAGTACCTACCACACGTGGGCTTACTTATTGCTAGTTCTCTGCTTATTTCCTGTAAGGGTTTGGAGTTCACGTCAAGCGACATACATCACGGACAAGGACTGTTCATTGCCAACCCGACACAGATAAACTATTCACTTGCACATTTATTTATTCAACAGTAATGTTATGGTTTAGCCAAGAGATACACTGATGCTGGGATAAGACATCTGCGCTGATACTGAACATTTTGATGGATAAGATATCAGTTTCAAGCTATGAGTTCAGTTGATATCCTATTTTGGTCTATAAATTGGTGTAATAAAATCTTTCTGGACAATGAAGGCCTAAAACACCTTGTAATACTTTTCAAAACTGTTCAGTAGTTACTTTAAATGATACAAAACATTTTGATCATTTTACCATATGCTGAAATTAATTACAGTTTCACTCGATGCCCAAATATCAGTTTAGATCGGGGATCAGCAGATACTTAAAGCCAAAATGTCAGAACAGAAAAGGCTGGATTAGATTAGTACTTGATATGCTGTTATGAACTGACTTTTTTTCTACCAGAACCAATATCAACATTTTCAACCAATAAAACAGGACATAGACATTACTGCTCCTTCTTTGGAACACTTTCCATTAGAAAACCAGTCGTCAACATATAAATAAGTATAACATTGAAAGTATTGTTGTAGATAAACCCAAGAATCAAACCCAGAACTGTCTTGTTGGATGGCTTACCTCTTTGCTATTTTACAGTCCTCAACCTTCTTAACTTTTCTAATTAGTTTTCAGCTGAGTTAGTTTGGCCTTTTCTGACACCAGCATAATAATTGTAATAATAAGTCTAACTAAGTGCACCTTTTTGCAGGTTGTCATGTTTGTTATATAGAGTGCTGATGAGTGGCAAATCTGGACAGCACACTGTGTGGTTTACACTGTGTGCTGCGCTTTTCTTAGACGTAAATTAAATGCTTGAAAAACAAAGCGTGCTGTTGTGCGTAGGTTTGTAAATGAAGAGGTGTGGTTATTAAGAAGTTTGTGTACCTGTTAATTATAAACTATAAGCTTGAAGTTGTCTTAAAAGTCCTACATTACGCAGAATTGACACTTGTTAGAATGTTGTTACCTCATTAAAATTATATCTCAAAATGCTCTGTTCCACCGTGTGATGTCATGACACTTCAAGTTAACAGCTACATTTTACCTTTTTACAGAAGGGATTGACAATTGCAGAGCTGAAATGATCAAAATGATAATGGTGTATGGAGTTTAAAAACACAGTGGAGTGCTTCTTGTATTACCAAATGACATCACAAGGTGGTACAGAGCGTTTTCTGTTTGAGAGAAGAATTCAGCCTAAATATGCAGGTGTGTGTTAAATATGGGTGAATGAAACAAAACTCAGCTCTGGGTACAGTATGTTAGTGATGAGGAAACAACATTTTAAAATAAATCAGAAAAAGCAGAAACATGAACAATCAGCCAACTCTTTTTTTTTTTTTTTCTTATCACTATCAGTGTACAGAATTTTCTCAAGTACATTTTGTTTGTTTGTCAAAGTACTTTTGTTCTTATTTTCGTGGTACTAATAACCTGGCTCCTTTGGGGTTAGAAGAGCGTCATTTTTCCTTGAGATGACTGTGGCAGATGGGTGTCTCTGTGTGTTGGGATGGTGCTGCCTTGGAGAACTGTATAGAACCCAAACACCATTTTTTAAAATGAACATACTGCAAGAAAGCTCTGTGTTCTCTAGTGCTTCAAGCATCTCTGTTTTGGTGCCAAAGTACTATTTTTTTAAACCATGGAAGAATTGAAAATGTCATGTGCAAAAATAGTATGCAAGTCAATGGGTTGTTTCAGGATGTAACAGCATTTTTCTAACTGCACATTGTAGTATGTTCTAAAACTGTACTATTTAAAAGCTGTGAAATGTCAGTACATAAACAATTTCACTCTTTTAACTGTTTTATCCTATGTGGATTTTTATTACATGAATTTGCTTATTGTAATGATGCACCAATCCAGCTTTTTCAGTTCCAATATTCATTCCGATACTTTAGCTTTAAGGATCTGCTGATACAATATCAAGTGACAGCAGTGCAGAGTCTGAAAACAGCGTTTATTTCCTTTAAAGAAAAATAATATAAGACAAAGCTGATCCAAATGTAGATGTTATTTATTCCTCAAGTAACTAAATAAAATAAATAAATATAACTAACTAAATAAAAATTCTGGCATTATGAGACTTTCTGAACTGACTGTGACTAGTAAATTGACTTATTACATCAATTTGTATGTCCAACCAGGATATCGACTGAGCCAACACTGAAAGCAAATCCAGAAAAAAGTGTTCAGTATCTGCGCCGATATCCAATACCAGTATCGTATCGGTGCATTCCGAGCTTGTTTCACATCTATGAGCCAGCAGCATGAAAAAAACAATTTCTGCTGTTTCAAAACAGATGACCAAATTCCTTGCAGCCGCCGTTCTAAATCCTCTACCTATAGTATACAGCGTGGGCGACAGAAAACTTGCTTGTTACTTGTGTGTCGTGTGCTGTGGCTGAACACTTAAAGGTTGTACTTGTGGAGCAGAGAAACTGCTGCTGCAGCCTTTATTAGCAGCTTCACTATAGGGCTTTAGTGTGACATTTCTGAGCCATTTCTCCCTTCATTACTCGCATCAGTAAAAGGTCAGGCTCCTGCATGTGGCCCTCCCAGGTGTCCGCTGCACCCTCTGCCTGTTTAAACATCTGTGCCCATCAGCATGGCCGCATCTTCATTACTCATGGCTTTACCTGATCCAAGGAGAGGATGGGTGGAGTATATGACTGGGTGACGATGACTGCACGCTGCACATTTCAAAAGATTGAGAGAAAAAGAATAAACAATTAAAATTCAAAGTATGTTATAGCTAAACTAAACTACTTAAGTCTTTAAAGAACATATATGTCCATATTGGCTGTATCATTTATATTTTGCATCAAAGAAGAGGCAAATAGTCAGGAGAACTGTTCCAAAACAGTCCGGTATAATCTTTTACTGAAATTTGAGTTTATAATTTTAAACACTCTGAAACACATTCTTCACAAACGGCACTTCTCGCCTTAATGCAACTGTGTTCCATAGGCAGAGTCTCATTAAAATGTAGTTTCCACATCTCCAGTGATGCTGCGTTGATGCGAGGGGAGTGGTGTTGGAGGCTGAACTTCCTGTCTGTCTCTCCGCATCCTCGCGCTTTCAGGGATAATTGAGCGGAGTGAAAGGCGAGGACTCAGTCAGGGACCTTTCTGAGCGCTATGTGGAAGCCCGGAGGCTCGCTGCTGATCCGACTACCATCATGACATAAAAGCAGCGTAGAAAGGAGCGGAGAAAACCGGGACAGTGTCAGAAAAACAGTGAGGGGAAAGTGCGCGCTCGTTTGGATGCGTAATTTTGTGGAAAACCTCGCGCAAAACAGCAAAAACTTATGAAGTAGTTCCCAGCACCACTGACTTTTTCTTGGAATCGAAACCAGCCCACTCGATTTGCGGGTTTTTTGCTCGTGGAGATATTGTTTTTGTGCGCACGGTGCGCGCCTTGTGTGACCCCTCCAGGGTGTAGATTCTTCTTCAGCCCCGCTTGAGACGCGTGTCCGGTGGAGTGCGAGCGCGTGTGGCTGTGGAGAATCACCGGAGCACTAAGAGGATGCTGGAGGGCAATGCCTGCAGAACGAGAGGATGAGATTTGTCGAAAGGCGCTGGAGCTGCTGTCCGAGCTGTGCTCCCGGGGAGAAGTCCAGGACGAGCACTGCCTGGACTTCATCTATTACTTCCGGGACCTGGCCAGACCCCGCTACACGGACTCAGGTAACGCTCACAGTGAGCCACATGGGATTGCAAAGTCAATCAAGTGAAAATAAATAGTATAGTGATGAGAGAGATAAGATATGTATTGATGTCCTCATTCCAGTGGTCCTGAGGAAGTGGCAGCAAACGAAGTGTTTAAAATGTGCGTAAAAGTTTGACAATCTGTGGAATTATGACCTTTTTACTTAACCTGCACTCTGGAGATAACCATAACAGGATAGGAATCAATTCGTCACCACTTCAACATACTATTTTCATGTAACATGTTGCGTATGTTTTATAGGAGTAGCCTGTCCTAAAATGACAACGTATTGTGCATCTATTGTGCATTTCAACATTGAAACATTTCAGTCACAATGCTTTTTACTGGGTTGACATTCTAGGCTTCATGGAACCTAAATTAATGAACAGATTTTTCTATGAATAAATTAAATGCGTGTATTTTAAGAACTTCATTAAGGTTTAATCCCACAGAAACTCATTTTTGTACTTCACCTTTTATTTATAAAAAAAAGACTAAAACCTAGTTCTCCATTAAAAAAAAAAAAAAAAAAAAAAAAAGGCCTAATTTTTAGACTTGTGTGCCAAAGCTGTAAATGTTGAATGGATTTCAAAATATTTTACCATATATTGTATTGTATGTGTAGGTTATATGGAGTAGAGTAATAGCTGTGTATAATTAGAGATTCTTATGAAAACAAAATGACTCCAAACTTTATTTTTGAAATTCAGATGAGTTCTCCCCATGCTTACCATTTATAAAACCCCTCAAATTACACACATAAGCAACATCTAATTGAAATATATAGGCTAAATACCAAGCAACACTGCAATACAACAATACCCAACAAAAATAACTTGAACAATATGGTCTCATTACTACGGTTGAATTAAGACACCTGTTCCACAATGGGCTTTGGGAAAAGAATAACCCGTTTCCCAGTTCATATGTGCTGAGAAGGGACTGTGAACTTGGTGCTTGCATGTATTAGCACGGTCTGGCTGCACAAAGGCTCTGGGACCTGTGTCTTGTTCAGTGTGTGTGTGTCATAATTAATTAAATAATTTTAAAACATCCATGTAGTGCAAAGAAACTGTACACACGATAAATATTGACCCCCAAAGATATTGTTGCATTTGCCATAAATTAAACGATAAGTCGATTTAGTAATTATCATGACAGGCCTAGAGAGAGAGAGAGAGAGAGAGAGAGAGGGAGCTTGATTTGGGCCTGCCTCTTCCGTTAGCAGAAGTGAAACAAGGCCACACCCTGTACTCTATCAGCCATTATAGCTCGCTGTGCAAAGGGTGATCTCAAGCAATTACAAAGGAGCTGAGATCATGGGATGCTTGCTGGGCTTTCAATGGTTATAACGACAATATAATGACCATATAATAGACCTTTTGTGTATATTTCTTTATTGACATACGTTTGGAACAAGGAAAAGTCTGAAAGAAAATGAAAAGAAAACATAGGTCCACTGTGGTCTCCAAACATGAATGTATGGTTAAAAAAAGATACAAAAAGTTGAGCCAGGTGCAAGTGAAAAGGAACTTATTACTAGCATATTAAAATTACTTTTTCACATCACATTAGTCCCATTAATCTAAACCTATCCTTACAGTTTTCCTGTCCTGTCCTTTTTTTCCCATAGACTTTCTAAAAAAATGTATTAGGAGTTAGGACATTAGTTATTACCGCTACGCCTATCACGGTAATTACTTCATGGACTTATCATTCAGTATATGAAAGAGTATATTTTGGGGTCAGTATTTGTAGTGTGTAATTTTTCTTTGCACTACTGGAAAATTTGTGGTTTTACAATATAATTTAAGACATAAAAGGTTGAGTTAATAACTTCTATGACTCATTAAACTTCTATGACTCATGATTTATTAACAATAGTATAGTTATATAATAGTATTTGTGTCTTAAATCTGCTCTTGAGTTATTGTGTCATTGACATAAATTAGCTTCAATGTTATTTATCATCTACAGTATACTTCAGTAATATATACTACTTAAAAATGTGTTATTGTGACAGGCTTAGTTATCACATAGCTGGCTTGCCTCCATCATGCTTTTTCAGTACGTCTATGGGAAAAATTAATGGGAAATGTAGTTTGGAGTGGGCGGGACTGCACTTGTCATACATCCAGACTCCCCTATGTCTCTGTGTGTTTACATGTAGTGGTATGCGTGTCTTAATTGTAGTCGTCACTGGGTTAGAGCTTTTATACACGTTACAGTGCATTATGAAACATGTATGATGAAGAGGATCTCGGAGCATCCAGATTAGTTCCCCTGAGGAGCTGTGACCCACTTGCTTTTGTATCAGACTTCCTCACACAGTGCACACACAAACACGCCTCTCCGTGCAAACTGAGAGGTGAACCACCGGAGTTATTTCATGTACGCCAAATATTCAATCATCCATCCCGCTCAAACCCATTCACTTCATCTTGCACTTGAAAGCAGGTCAGCTAGTAATAAAAAAAACACAATAGCACCAAAAGAGTACTCTGAGGCACACCTTTGATCAATTATACATAGATTCAGACTCACTGAGATACATTACAATTAAAGCACTTATTCAGAAGGCTAGGCTGAATAATGACTCCTGCTAGGAACAAAAGAGCATTTTGTCTGAAAGCTTTAGGTTAAAGAAAAATACAAACAAAAGGCAGCTGTAAACATACAGAAATTAAAGGTCATCTCTTTAATAGTCAATGTACCATAAACAAGCTAGCGAATGTAGGAACTCCTTATTTATCATCACTGTATATGAACTGCTAGGTTTCAGATGGCATCACAGTTACGGCTGGGTATCATTAAGAAGTTGCCTATACGATACATACCTCAATACATAGGCCACAATACGATACATATCTCGATACAGTGCACTTTCGATTCAATATAATATATGTCAAATCAATTCAATACCGTTCAATAAAAAATAAAGGCTAAATCCTGGCTGTGATACTAAAAGTCTTTGTTAAACCACTTCTCGTGTAAAGTAAATATGAAACAAAGCCATTTTAATCATCAAAAGAGTAAAAATGTCAAATGTGTCGCATAAACAAGCAACAAAATTGTAGTGCTATAACAAAATAATTGAGTAAAAAATACCAAAAAAATACTCTTGGCGATATATCTATACAGCAGCCCATGATATTGGGATTGTATCATCACATTAAGCGATACGATATATCGATATTTCAATATTTTTGCACACCCCTAATCACAATATTCTATAAGCCAGGAATATTTCAAGGTGCATTTTGTAACCGTCGAATGTTTTTTTTTCCAGAGAGCTGTTATTACATTGTCTGGAATCATAGTATGGTATTAATCCTACCTTCTACATGGAGACCAAACCAGACCAAGTTACAGGTCAGATCTGTGGAGAGGCAACCACACTCATAGTCAGAACATATGTTTTTTCTAGGTATTTTTGAGCTTTAAAACCACCTGTATTTGAGTAAATGTAAGGTATAGCTGTTTAATGTCATACTGTGGAACATTTCAGACAAAGGAATGACATAGCCATAGAAACAAGCAGGTGATGGACCCCAGACCAAAAAGTTACATAGTACACCTTTAATACTGAGTGGGGGTTGCTAAAATTAATATTATTAAAATGCTGATTTTTGTTGTAAAGCAGTGAGTTTCTGGCTCTGGTCACCAATAGAAATGATCAGGTTCAGCATTTGTGCATTTACATTTTAGATATTTCATGACAAAGTACACTGTAATCAATAAGGAAAACTGTCCCTGGCCCCCATCTGGGAGTATGACCCCATCACATTCTAGATTCAGAAAACCACTATAGTTTGTGTTTACATAACATCATAACATTATATTACTGCCCATAGTTTAACTTTGAGCTGGAGGACAGGTTTCTGTAGTTGAATTTGCTGTTTGAATTAGTTGTACAATTGCAGATTTTTTTATCTGGTTAATGGATAATATCTCACTTTTTCTTTTGAGAAGTTTCAACAATTATAGATTATATGTTGTATGATTGGATATTTCAAACAGTGAATCTTCCATTATAGAGTTGCCTTTTTATGTTGATATGCCTGTCACAGTAACAAAATTTGATGCATGGTATATTCATTGTCTCCCGATCATTCATGTTATTAGGTTCTTGTTTCAGACCAAGAGTTGGTTTTCATACCTGACAGTTTCGACTGCTCACTAGCGGTCTTCCTCAGAGTGGTCATGTGATGTTGCTGTGACATGTCTGGTCAGCTGATTTATACAGGTTTTGGTGCTGTTTTCCTACCGGTGGGGCAGGACGACAGCGCCATCTGCAGTCCGACTTCCTCAGGCCAGTATCCCAGGTGTGTGAGAGTAAAAAAGCCCCCTTGTCCCAGTTTATAGTCCCATGGGCACATTTCCGTATTTCAATTGCCTCTTTAAGTATGATATATTGTTACAGATAAATATTGGGATAAACGATAATATTGAAACTAGGGCCTGACTGATATGGATTTTTTTGCAGCTAATATGAAACCGATAAAACAGGAGTTGGAGGTGCCGATAGCCGATGTGAAAGCTGATATATTTAGTGATGTCAAAATTCACTGTAAATCTTCAATTGATTATAAAACTAAGGTTTTATAACACATTTTAAATTGGGTTTGTTTAGGGTACATTAATTGCTATTTTGCCTCTTTAGAGTCATATTTAAAGACAGTAGGCAGGCCTAATGACATTTCTGCTTTTCACTTTTCCCAAAAAATTGTACACATGATAAACATTGAGCCCCAAAATATATTTTTCCAGCTTTCATATATTCATATACCTCGATATTGTAATTACTGTTATACTATAGCTTATATATATACTCGAGGTTATTCCATGAACTTTATAACCACTGTTGCTAACTTGTGCCTGAGCAGATTGGATCCTAGACTTTCAGCTACACTCTTGTGTTCTAAATGCTATGTGCAAGTTAACCAAGTTTGTTTTTGGTGACTCCGGGCTACGGCTT